ATAAAGGTGGCGGAGGAAGGAAAGGAGAGCGACAAGCCCCTCGGCCGAGACCTTCCGTGCCGGCCCGAGAAGATGCCTCGGAGTCGGTGCTGTGTCTGTCAGCTCCAGTGGCCTGAGCCGCGCCAAAGTCCTGCAGTCCCTGCGGGACCCAAATTTACTCACCTTGTACCTTTTAAGTCTTGTATTTACAGAGCTGACCACCAGCCGCGAAGAGATAGTAACTTAGAGTTCCTGAACCTCCTGAAATTCATGAACTACTGTCCTAACAGCCAAAAATCATCCTAAAATGAGTCTGCATCCTATCCATCCTCGGTGAAACCTCCATAAACTTCCTCATTCAGCACAATCCAGTCAAAAAACCCGACAAACAATAACAGCAACCATGTAAACTTTCTAAATCCCTCAAAAACCCCTCAATTATATTTGAAGAGAAAATCCAATTAAAAAAAAAAAAAAAAAAAAAAAAAAAAAAAAAAAAAACCAGAAGAAAAAAACCCAAAAAACCAAAAAACGGGATAAGAAGGGGGAGATCAAAGCATCATAAATTGCACTGTGCATTGTTTTTATCACTTTGGTGTTCTTTCAAACTACTCTATTGACAAGTTAGACTGTCAATTCGAACAGACTAAGTGTTGTATATAGTGTGTGTATTAATTCACTGAATTAGAAATATTAAACTCAACCATCAAGTCCTTGCAAGGAAAACTTCTTAAACATCAAAACGTAAACCAAAATTCTAGATTAATTCTAGATCAGCATCCATTCAAAGTTCTAGTAAAAAAACCTCTTGAGCTGTGTTTGTTCTCTGTCCTACAAGGGCCCAGTAGGAAGTGACAAACACTGCTTTTTTATTTTTTCTAACAGAAAGGGTGAATTATGGATGCTAGCTTTGGAACAGGCTGCAGAGAGCTGCAGAAACTGCAGGCCCATGGCCTCTCAGTCCTGCCTGAGAAGCTAGCCTGAGAAATTCAGAGGAGGATTTCAAAACAATCCTCAGAGACAGAAAACAACTGCCAGGTGCTGTTTGTCTGTCCTCTAGTTTTCCCTTGCAGGAGAGAGTCAGGGGGGTAGTGTGCCCCTGACCAATGATGGTGATGTAGCACTTTGCTAACCAATAAGAGTTTCTTTTCTGTACTTTCCACGTACCAGTCTATAAAATAAGCCTGAAGTAATAAACCAGGGAATTCTCGTGTTGTGACTCCCTTGAGAGTCCAGTGTCGTTCTTCATAGCCGTTCCCAATTGGAACGACAGTCACCATTGGTTCAATGTGGCCCCAGTGTGCCAAAATAGATTTTTGTTCCGTGGGGTTCTGCTGTGTCAAAATGGACCCTTTGTTCCATGAGTTTGCCCAGTGTCACAGCTGACTCCTTGGTTCTGTGAGGCCCCACCATCAGCAAGGCTCTGAAACATCAGAGTAAGTCTCCTTACCACTAATTTGGTGTTTAAGAGGGCATCATTTATTCAGGCCTGAGGTCCAACATGGGATAACTCCTAACCTGACATGGACATGTGATTCTCCCAGTGTGTTGCTTTTATACAGTGGCTAAATGCATATTACAATTTACCCACTTCCATAAAACCAAACCCCGAGTTCCCAGATTCAGTCCTTGTTTTTCCCATCACTGCACCCTTGAGCCAGATGTCTTTTTCTTGTCTCCCAACCATCCTTGCTGGGAAGGCAGGCCCTGCATGCCTTGTTCCTGTGCTAGAAGTTCACAGGCACGGTAAAAATTGAGTTAACCCTTTTGGTATCAAGGCCAAGGCTTTGTGTGGCCAGGCAGAGGCAGGCAGGACGCAGAGCTGTCACAAAGGAAGGGCCCAGCGAGCTGGGGCAGCCGGGGGATGACGACAGCCTGCAGGGCCAGAGGCGCAGGGCATGGACACCGTAGGGCAGCCTGGGCTGGAGAGGGCACAGGGATGGGCAGCAGCTGCAAGGCCCTGCCAGAGGCAACTTGTGCAGCCCTTTGGCCATGGCTGCTGGCCCTGGGCCTGAGCCATGAGGAGGAGACAAGTGACCCTTGCAGCCCTGGGGCCTCATTGCCTCCTTGTCCCTGCTCAGCAGCCTGGCAGGGGCCGCCCCATGGTGCTGCCCTTGGCATTGCACATCCCCACGTGCCAGTGGCCCGGGAAGAGCCCTGAGCAATGAGGGAGGGAACAGCATCTGCCTTGCCAGGGGCTGGGGCTCAGCCCTTGGCCCTTTGCACTCCTGAAACACATCCAGCTTTGCTCAGCACCAGAGACACTTTCCCTTGATTGTCCCTGTTGCCGCCGAAGATGAATAGATCACATGGACACAGGTTGAGGTGTGGTGAAAAGAAGAGAGAGTTTATTTTTCTTCCCAGGATTTATAGGTTTCTGACCACGGCCAGGGATTGGATGGTCAGGATAACATTTTC